CAACGGGGCATCGCCGGCCGACAGAACCTCAAGAATGCTGCAACGGAGCATCTTCTGACACCCAAACGTCACGGGTGCTACAATGGAGCATCGCCGGCCGACGGAACCTCACGGACGATGCATCGTCTGACACTGAAACCTCATGGGTGCTGCAACGGAGCATCGCTGGCTGATTGAACCTCACAGATACTGCAACGGAGCTTCGTCGGACGCCAGAACCTCACGGTTGCTACAACAGAGCATCGCCGGCCGCCGAAACCTCACGGATGCTACAACAGGTCATCACGAGCGTTGTTATGGAGCATTGTTGGGTCGTCGGTGCTATAATAGAGCATCACTGATGCTTCAATGGATGGTCACGGGCTTGCAGTAGCTTCGTTGCCGCAACCCGGTGTTGCAGCCGTGGTCGGTGCGTGGCGAGCTCGTGAGTGTTTTTCTGTGCGATGACTAGCGGCGGTGCATTGTGCAGGCTGAAGCTGGTGCTGCATGTCGTCCAAATGTGGCTCATCGCGTTGGAAGTGTGGATTATGTGTTGCACTCGTGCTCATGCCTGATGGATGGCTGGAGTAGCTGCGGGAGAGATATGGCGTATTGGGATGAAAGTGGTGGCTTGGTCAAGGAATCAAGCGGGCCAAATCGATGCTAATCAACGGTTGGCTAGGCGGCAGATCTTACGAAAAGATCAGCCGGCTGATGCCTAGCAGTATATCTCCACAATTCCATACACAAAGCGGCAGCGTCAATCCTCTTCCTTCGGCAAACAGAACCCTGGACCCCCGAAAAATAAAAAGAACCCTAGACGCGGGTGCTCGCTCGATCGATCTCCTGCACAACCTCTCGAGCCCCTGGTCCGCGCTCAAAGCGCCGGCCGCGCTAGGGAGCCATGGACCAGACGGAAGCCCTGCCGGAGGACGCGCTCGCGGGCATCCTCGGCCGCCTCCGGCCGCGCGACCTCGCCGTGTGCCGCTGCGTCCGCAAGGCGTGGCGCGCCATCGTAGACGCCAGCGGCCTGCTGTTCCCCCACGTCGTCCCGCTCACGCTGCGCGGCCTCTTCCTCAGCTACAGAAACCGCACGAGCCCGCGCTTCTTCGCCCGTCCCGCCTCGACGCGGCAGCCGGCGGTCGACGGCGATCTCGGCTTCCTGCCTCAGTACGGCAGCGGCTCCAGACGGATCGTGGACCACTGCAACGGCCTCCTGCTGTACCGTGACCTGAGGAGACTCTCCGTTGTTAACCCAGCCACCAGGCGTTGGGAAGACCTTGAGGATGACGGATTCGACGCGCGCCTAGTGTTCGACCCTGCCGTGTCCCTGCACTACGAGGTGTTCTCGATCCGGCTCGAGCCCGGGGAGGTGATCACAGAGAACCCAGCCAAACCCGATTTGATTGAATACCCACCATCCACGTGGACGTTAAATGTATTCTCATCCAGCACACGGCAGTGGGAGAAGAGGTTGTTTGTCCGCGAAGCCGAGGCTCCAGAGACGGTGACTAATGTGCAACTAGATCCAGTAGAGCGAAGATCAATGTGGTGGAACGGCCACTGGTGTTGCTCTAGCAGTGTCTATTGGCGAGGATCACTCTACCTGCTGCATTGTTGTGGTGTGTTTGTTGTGAGGTATACACATCATATATATACATAGCACATCTCTGCAAGATCACCTTTTCAACACATATACTATCAGTTCTCTATATATGTCACATACAATTTTCTGATCATATTTTGCGAATTAATTGACCATGCTTGCAGGTTATCTTTATCAGACAGGAAATACCGAGTGATAAAAACCCCAATAAATATCGATGAATGCAAAAAAGCACAGCCTTACATTGGGAAATCGGAAAAAGGCGTGTACTTTGCATCAATGCATAATAGTTTTCGACTTCAGGTTTGGACACTAGTGGAGTCAAGTGAACGGGTAGACTGGGTGTCGAACAGCATTATCGATCTTAAGGCATGTGCAACTGTAAAGTCACATGGATCGCACAATGTGGAAGGAACCCTAAAAACTTGGATTTTAGATGGTGGTGGTGATGATGATGATGTAGATGGCAACAACACAAGGACAATGATAGAAAATTTGGATTGGGACTCGGACGATGATAGCATTGTGAATATTGAAGATGCTTATGAAGGTATCTGCAATCAGATCTGCTTTCTCGGGTTTCACCCCTACAAAGAAGTTATCTTCTTGGGGTTAACATCATCCCAAGGAGGAGTAGGAGTGGCTTGTCATTTGAATGGCTCAAAATTTCAGTATCTAGGAATACTAAGCCAACACACTTTCTGGCTTGGCATACAAGGATCGTTTCCGTACACCCCTTGCATTAGTGGCATCTTCTAAAAAGCTTCAGAGAGTAGTGTAAATAATGCATGGCACCCTGGTCTTTGGGTCCTTTTTTGTTTATGATTATTTCCATAAAGAATACCCTGCAAGTATGTCACTCTAACATATTTGGATCACTTTCCAGCCGTTGTTCTTTTTTTCTATTATAGTATCTATAAAACCTCTCTCTTGACTGAACTGCACATGTGTATGGTATCATATAAAAGTTAACTTAACCAACCTTTTTTTAAACCAGTGATACGAAATGAAAAAGGTTAGCTACATATCGCAATGACACCAAAGGCCGATGTACACCAGCCTCAAATATTTTTATATCAGGGACATATACCTATATAATTTGTGTTTCGAATAAACTTTTAAGACGCACCGTGCTTATGTCTAAGATTAAGATGTGTATACTGTTATATACTCCCTCCGTTCGGAATTACTTGTCTCGGAAATGAATGTATCTAGACATATTTAAAATATTTCTAGATACATTCATTTCTGAGACAAGTAATTCCGAACGGAGGGAGTAGATCTTCCTCCAACTCATTTATATGGGAAAAAAATATTCAAGCAAAGTTGTGGAACCAAACCAAGATCTTCTTACAAACGTCTTTAACACTTTTAGGTGGTTCCAATTTTACATACACAATAAACTCACCCATTAATCATGAGATACAAGTGCAAATTTGCCGTGTTTAATTTTAGTCTTTTTTGCGGTTAATTTTACACTTTATTGTTCATATACATTGTCAAGTGAGGACACATATAGTCAAACAAAAAGTATGAAGTATGGCTTTACTGGAATGAAAATTTGAGGGTGGCCATAACGAGATTGTAGAGCTCAGTCGGATAGTGATACAAAAAGTACCAAACAAAATTTAATTGAATTCAAATTTTGACTGATGAGGACCAATGTTTTGGACTCCGCATGCAATAAGAATCTCATGGGGAACACCAAAATTTTCAGTTACCGTGTAACTAATAAATACCAGATGGTAAACTGTTCTTTTGAATATAACCAAATTTTCTGCGCGGTAACCAAATCTCACATGGTGACTATAACAACATTACAATGTAGCCGCTTGATCAATATTTTTATACTACACACGGTCTAGAACATAGCAATGATGTTAAAATGGTACATGATAATTCAAAATGCAAGCTCCACCTACTAATAGAGGGTGACTATATACATGTAAAGTACTATAGTCAAGTGAAACATTTTTATGACAAAAAGTTAGAAGATGAAGGGCCTACTGGTTGGAGATCCTGATGTGGAAGGCGATAAAAGCTATTATCTCCACTCTATCCAACACGAGGCCTCCAAATCTTGACCAGGGAGTTGCCACCACCTAAGCCACGCCGACAACAGAATCACTCACCGCCCTGTCCTCGCTACCCTCATAGAGGCGCTGCCCCTGATGTAACATTGCTCGCTACAAAGCCACCCGCACAATCTCCCCATGTGGGGCCGCCACCCCGGCGTCCAACAATGACACCATGATGCCGCCAGAACATCGAACTATCGAAAATCCAACACCTTGGCACACACCACGCAGGAGTGGTACAATCATGTTGTAGCACCACCTCAGACAGAACAGGACATCAACAATGCCGCGCATGCACAAAGGGAGTCCCCAACCACAGATGTCAGATCCCAGCTAGATACAACAACCAAACCTCAACTAAGGACAAAGACCTACGAAGATGACCAACACCACGTTGCAAGCCAGATTCGACCTATATCCTAACAAGGGAGGGGCTCTGAGGCCCGCTGCCTCCCATTCCGAATCCTCCCCACCCCCCAAGACGAGTGATCGGATCCTCACAACTACCTGTTGCGTGCCACTAATAGAAAACACCATCCCCAAACGCGCGTGAGCCCTACGCTGCTGAGATGCGGCCAACACATGCCAACCACAGCCGAATCTAGGCCAAGACCACACCCAACAAACACCACCACTACGAGCCTGCCCTGTCACCGCACCCAAGGGCACCACCGCGCCCCCGCGATGCTGCGAAGTGTACACTTCGTCGCTGCCACGACGCACTCGTGGACTGTGCCATCACGCGCGGCACTTACACCCGATTGATTTGCCTGCGCCGCGAAGGACCAGCACACGAGGGAGAGATGCCCTACCGCCGGCGACGCCGCACAGGCTTCGCCCCAACCACGCCGTCTGACGACGGCAAGGAAGGGGAGAGGGAGGAGAGGAGACGAAAGACGGTTACAACGTTAGGACTCCCATGGCACGGACGGGGTACGTCGCCGGAGCGGGAAGGGTGTTTTTGCAAAACATGCGCAGGGATCCTCCATGAACACATCTACTAGCTAGTAAGACGATTGAAAATATTAATGTGAATTATTTTGTGAAATACCTTAGACGGGCCGCACTTATGTACTTATTATCTCCATATATACAAACACACAGCGGCGGCAGTCTTCCTCTTCATCTCTCTCGAACAGAACGAGCCGCAATCTAAGGACTAAGGCCGGCCCCCGCGCGGCAGCCATGGACGACAAGACGGAATCCCTGCCGGACGACGCGCTCGCCCAAATCCTCCGCCGCCTGCCGCCGCGCGACCTCGCCGTGTCCCGCTGCGTGCGCAAGGCGTGGTGCGCCATCGTCGACGGCCGTCGCCTGCTGCTCCGCAAGATGCTCCCGCACGCCGTGCGCGGCCTCTTCTTCAACTACGGCGACCGCGCGCGCCCGCGACCGCGTTTCTTCGCCAGCCCCTCCTCGACGCGGATCGATAGCGATCTCAGCTTCCTGCCTTCCTACGGCGGCAGCTCTACAGGACTGGTCGATCACTGCGGCGGCCTCCTGCTGCACCGCGACCGAAGGACCCTCTGCGTGATCAACCCCGCCACCAGGCGCTGGGAAGATCTTCCGTGGGAGGACGACGGCTGTGACGCCTACCTTGTGTTTGACCCTGCTGAATCGCTGCACTATCAGGTGTTCTCAGTGCCGCGCCAGCTCGAGAAGGTGGTACTGAACCCACACGATGAGTTAGAAGAGGATTTCATCCGTTGGCCACCATCCATCTGGACGTTAGATGTGTTCTCATCCAGCACAAGGCAGTGGGAGAAGAGATTGTTTGTTCGTGAAGCAGAAGCTCCGGAGACGATGGCTGATGCGCGACTAGATCTATTAGATCCATTATCCATGTCATGGAGCCACCAGACGGGTAGCCGCAGTGTGTATTGGCGAGGATCGCTCTACGTGCACTTTTACGGTGTGTTTGTTGTGAGGTACTCTAATTTTCTAGCACTAGTTCGTCTCTGCAAAATCACTTTTAATTTCTCGCACTAATTTTCTATATATATCTTGGAGAATGTTTCTAATGTTATTTTTGAATAAATGGACATTTCTATAGGTTATCTTTCTCGAATGGGAAGTACCGACTAATCAAAACACCCATAAATAACGAGGAGAGCATTCACGTCCACTCTTATGTTGGGAAATCGGAAAATGGTGTGTACTTTGCAACAGTTCATGATGGATGTCGACTTCAGGTTTGGACTCTCATGGAATCAAGTGGACGGCTAGATTGGGTGTCGAAGAAACATATTGATCTGGGAAATGCAACTCTACCATTGTGCCAGCCAGATTATATGGAGGTAATTGGAAAAACTTGGATTTCGGACGACGATGATGATGTGAATGGCAACAATAGAAACATAAGGAGGGAAAATTTGGACTGGGACTCCGACGATGATAACATTGTGAATATTGAAGATTCTTCTTATCATTATTCCCACACCTATGTCTCCTTTCTTGGGTTTCATCCCTACAAAGAAGTTGTTTTCTTGGCGTTGGCATCATACAGACGGCCAGTTGCAGTGGCTTTTCATTTGAACAGCTCAAAATTTCAGTATCTGGGCACACCACAGCTAGCAGATTACTCAGGTGGCGCTCGCATACAAGGATCATTTCCGTACACCCCCTGCGTAACTGGGCATCTTCTATATCACTTCACAGAGTAGTACATTTGGGCTGCAAATAGTCTAAATAATGAAACCCTAGTCGTGGGGTCCTTGTTTTTGTTTATGCTCATTTCTAGCTCACCGTATTGGAAGCAGTATCAAATGATCTTTGGGTTCTTGTTTTTTCTATGTAGGGAAATATCTATTAGTTATTAGTTTGTTTTAGAGAAAGATTAAGATTAGGATTCAAACGTGGACCTCTCCTGGATATTTATACTCTTAGTTCTCGAATAAGCAGAATAATTATCTGTGCCTGGACAAGCTTTTGATCATTCGGTAAGTACTCCCTTACTCCCATAACACAAAATGTTATTACAACCTACTCTCTCCGTTCCAAAATAGATGACCCAACTATGCACTAATTTTATTACAAAGTTAGTTATAGTTGGGTCATCTATTTTGGAACGGAGGGAGTATATATGAGTACATTAGTTGTAAAATAACATTTTATATTATAGGACACATGGAGTAGTTATTTTTGTTTTGTTTTTGTAATACTTTGTTTTAGAGAGAGATTATGGAATCAGTATGCCATGTATTCATCTATCGCAATTGCGTAGTGCATGGATTTTATTTAGAACTTGCACGTTTCTCTTTTATAGTCAGTTTCTACTTTGACGCCATGATTCTAGTTTTCTTTTAGAAAGATGGTTGTCGCCTGGCCTTAAAATGAGGCCCTAAAGTTAACTGTAAAGGTTCGATACAAGGCCACAATGATTCTACCAATAAATAAACCAGGCTCTTTCCATTATATACTTCAAGAGAAGTGCTTTCTGCTTTCCCGAAAGAATTTGCCCGAATTATGAAGCACTTGCATTTTCCTAACTCGTAATGGTAGATTGATTGGCACATGATTATGTTAGGAGTTTATATATATCATTACTGTGAACTACTAAACATAGTGTGTTGATGGATTAATTTGGCTAGTAACATGGTGCATGATGTTTCGAAAACTGTCATTCTGCTTGGTTATCTTCAATTTTAGTTTTGGTTCGGCATAATCATAATGTGAGTGACGACT